TTTTTTGACAATGACACTCTGATTCTGCACAAATGACAAATTGTACGTTGAGCGAATTGTTGCGTCTAAAAATTTTTGTTTAGTTTTTGCTTTTTTTTTTTTTTTCGTCTCGATCGCGTGTCACCGATTCGCGTGCATTCACGTTCCACAAACAGTTTTATATACGATGAATAAAAATTTTTGTCGCGCATACGTTGCCCGCTTTATTAAGCCCTTTGTATCTCGATACTTGAAACTCTGTTTGTTATTTAAAAATATAATAGAGAGATCGAGTCGAACGCGGGAGGTGAGAATAAATTTGGATAAAATGGATAAAAAAAGAAACTTACATTTCTGTTTCTTATGAACAAGTGAAATAATATTATTGGTTTCATGAGTTATTTCGTTAATAACTCGTTGACAAAGTTGGAAGGAACGTTTTTGGGACACCGTGTGTATAGTAGAAAATTAAATCCTTCGTTTTGAAGGATTTACGTTGCGCCCAAATTGGAAAAATTTTGGCGCGACATCGAGACAAGAAAGGATCGTTGAAAAAGATACGTTTAAATATTTGAAACGCTGCTGCTTGGAAGAGCTTCGAAAATCAAAGCGTTCGAAAGAAACTCGTTGTCAAAGAAGAACGAAAGAAGATTTGTACAATTAATTCCCTTTGAAAATTCGCCAATTGCGATAGAAAGGATTTTCGTTTTAAATTTCATGCGTGCCGATTCGATCGAATGCAATTCGAAGGAAAGGAAGATCATTGGAAACGTTTCCAACGTTGTTTCGTTTTCATACGCTTTGCTTCCAACCATTTCCACGCGCGATCCTGTTTTCAACTCGATTCTCACCGCGTAATTCTCATACCGATCCTATCTAACCTATTTCTCGATAATAGAATTCTAAAGATCTCTCGAAAAATGTAAAAATTTCCAATTCGAAAACGACTCGAAGATGATAGAATTCTAGAGAAAAAAAAATATCCCTATAAATGTAAAATCGATGAGAAAAATAAAAGTAATTTCACAATGATTTTTAACAAGATAAATACGAAAGGAGTTAAATTTTAATAATAAGATAAACAAGATAAGTCGTATATTATCTTATCGCGAAACGCAATCGAATTTTCCGCTTTGCAAAATATATACGGTGGAGAGGACCGTGTTGGACGGGGACAAGTCAAAGTAGATGGCAATTATTTACTCGAACGACTCTTCTCCGTGAACGAGTTACGGTCGGCCGACTATACTTGGCGATATCTACTGCGAGTAAAGTAGATGGGCTCCATATGCAATCAGACCCTCTATTATTACGTAACTCGCGAATCACACGCCCCCTCTTCCCCCCTTCGATTCAGAAAATGCGCATATGTACCGGGACTCAAAGCAACTTTTTCGAGCAAATTTATTAGGATACAGCATTTAAATTGAAGGTTATAAATAATTTTAAGTAAAAACTCACTACGTGTCCTTCCATCTAGGGACAAAATAGAACGAGATCTAGTCCATTTTTTTCTTAACAAAATTACTAGACTTTAGAGAATTTAAAGAAATGGTCTGAAATTTCTCTAGCTTTCGGAACTCGTAGCGCTAGTAATTTCCGTTGTTGCTCGTCTCGAGAGGCGCGAATCTCGCGCAAACTCGGTGTCGGAGAGAAATAACGAAATAAAATGATTTGCGGTCGAGGAGGAAAAACATTTTTGATAAACGTTTATTTGTTTTCATCGATATATCCGAATATAATCCGCATTTTCAATATCAATTTCTATTTCCAACGCTCCGCTTCGTTCCAACGATCTCAATTTCGAAATCCGTTGTTTCCCGTATTCACTTACTTCTTACGTTTTATCTACACAATTGATTAAATCCAACGAATACGAATGGGACAGGGAAGAATAAAAGTGCACGATATTCGAGATTAGAAAGATTAACCTCCCTTCCACTACCTATATATATATAAATATCGTATCCAATTTTTTTTCTCCCCACCCCAAAAAAGGGAAGAGAGAAAGAACTTCTAAGGGTTTTAACAAAAAAAAAAAAAAAAAACGAGAACACGCCCCCTCGAGGGGCATCGTCTGCCAAAAATTCAAGAATATTATCAGAGGCATTTGATAAATCGCGATATAAAGCCCTTTTGTCGGAGAAATAAAGGAGGGGAAAGTCGATTCGGCTCTCTTTAGAATTTTAGGACGCGGCCAGGATTAAAGCGAGATAAGTTAAGCCGGCGAAACGGCATGGGCAGAGGGTTTAAATTAGTAGCGGGGAAATTCAACGTAGTGACGGGCTGCCAGATAAGGGATTTCCTCCGTCGAGGGAATATACCTTACCTTACGGTCATAATACGCGAAATGGGGCCAAGTATGGCTGGATAAACTGATTATCTGTATCACGCGGTATCGCCATCTTTTGTCCTCGAAAAAAAC